AGAATGTGAATTGAAGAGAGAAAAACAAGCAGGATGGGACTGGATGGGCTAAAGCTGGAATTGGACAATGAACTGCAATCTGCACATGGAGCAGAGCTGATCCCAGGGAGAGACCCCGTGAGCGCTCGTGCATTTTGGGACCATTTTGGTTCATCTTGGGTGCAGCCCTGGCTGGGCTCTTGTGCTGCCCAAGGTGGATTCATGGAGGAGATCCTTTGAATAAATCCCTGCTTTATTCTGTAGCTCTGTCCAGCCTCTGTTCTAGGCCAGCCTTCTCAAGGCATCAGTTCCTCCTCTTCTTTCCTCTCCCTGGCTGCTGCTGAGGCCTCTCCTTCTGTCCCTGAATATCCAGGCTTCTCCTTGCCTTGCACACTCCATACTGGGAATTTTTTTGAGGCTGGCTGGGACCCCAGCATTGCATCCACACTCAAAAAAATCATTCTGCATTCCTGGGGATCCTGGGGTCATTTAAACCCCCCTGGAGCTGCACTCAGCCTGGTGCCAGGGCTGGACCGTGGGTGACTGGGCAGAGTTTGGATTCCCTTTATTGCTCCTGGCTTTGGGATGGAGTCACTGGGCATTCAAACAATGCCTGGTGAGTGACCTGCAAATGTTAAAGCCACAGGGGCTGATGGATCTGACCCCAAAAGATGGAGGACTCAGCTGTCCCTGCAGGGCTGAGCAGGCTCAGGGCAGTGCACAGAGAGCCTGGAGCTCGGGATGTGACCCCTGAGAATGCACAGACACAAAAGGGCTGGGGCTGAGGGCTGCTCTAAGTGCTCCCAGCTGCCCCAAGGATGCATTTGGGTCCATTACTGCAGCAAAGCAAACCCAGAATGTGTTACACACAGAGAGGGCACAAAGGAGCAAATGCAGACACTAAAAACCCAGCAGTGTTTGCAGCATTAAAACCCACACCAGCAGCCAAGAGAAAACCACCACACTCAGCTCTGTCCCTCAGTGACAACCCCTGAGACAGAAGGATGGGATCTCTGACTTTCTGCAGCAACACAGAAAAAGGTGACCACAAAAAGAGATGTGACTTGTAACATTTCAGGCTTTTTTCTAAGAAACAAAACCATCCCCAGGAGCATGAGTGCAAAGCTCAGAGGGAAGGACAAGCAGTTTAAGATGGGCCATGTAAAAACACCTTTTCTCCCAGCCCCAGATTTGAAGTGTGAGGCTGCCTTAGTTCACCTGTGCATTTATTGCATATTTTTCTAAAAAAATTAAATTCCTACCTGGTTTTCCAGCTCTGTCCCTCCTCTTTAGGTTAACACACACAAACATCACCCTCACCCCTCCTGGAAGAGCATGCTTGACTCATCATTATTGTCCAGCCAGATTTATGGCTCTAAAACCTTCTGGTTACTAAGCTGAATGTCATTTTTATTTACTGGCCTCTGCCTCTTCTATGAGCTGCATGTACTTATTGGATCATTTTATCCTCTGAATTCCCACCTCTTCAGCTAAAGAGAGATTTTACCAACATCCCATCCTGTGTGTGCTGCGGCAGAACAGTTTGTTTAACTTCTGAGAATTCCAAGTTCTCCTGGGTTGTCATCCATCAGCTCAGGAAAAACTGGGAGTTAAGGGCTGCAAGAGGAGAGGCTGGAAGAGGAGGAGGAGACCGAGGAAATTCAGACAAAAGGTAAGATGGGGCTGAACTGCAGGGGCTGTGTTTGGCTTTAAATTCCTGCAGGCTGCAGCTCCCGGGGAACAAAGGAATGCAGGATATCAGCGGCAGCACTCAGACCCTGAGGAGCAGATGGTGCTGCTGCCATCAGGACAGCTCATTGTTTCTCACCTCCTCTCTCCCCCAGCCACATTCTCCTCCCCAGCATCTGCACCCTCTGTTTGCTTTGGTTTTGCTTCCATCTCCTTCCCCAGACATCCCTTTGGAGGGTCCCTTTTCCCAGCCGGGAGAACTTCCTGCCGTTTATTCATCCTCTGCAGCAGAGAGCCTGCCTTGTCTGCTGCCCCGTGGCAGCCAGGGCCTTTAGGGGCATTGTTCCAATTATTTTGAATTTCCAGCTTGTTCCTGTACCTTAGGAACATTAAGAAATGGTTGCATTCTCTTGTCTAGCTGTTCTGTAGGGACTGACCCCTACCTGAGCTCAAAAATAATGAGAAATTTAATGAGATTCTGTTCAGAGGATGGGATCACACTTGAAAATGTCATTGTCTCGTTGCCTCTCACAGGACAGACCAAGCCAAACCTCTCTACACTTGTTCCAAATCATCCTTCCTTCCCCACAGCTCCCATTCCCATGAAGGAGGGGATGGCTGGAAGCAGAATAATCTAACAGAAACATAAACCAGAACCAAAGAAACTGAAATAGCCACTGGATCCTTCAGCACAGGAACTGCTGGAGCCTGTCCCACCTCTTGCTCCATAAAGTTGGATCACCAAGTTCCTCTGCTTGATTTCTTAATTTACAAAGTGCATTGTTTTGGGAAAAAAACAGGGCTTCTGTCTGTCCCTGCACAGGGCTGTCATCCAGAATACACAACAGCTTCAAACAAAACCTATGGCCCCTTCCCACCTCATGACATGCTGGGAAAATCCTGATTTAAGCCCCAAAACCTGGTCTGGTGTTCAAGGATGCACCAGGAGGCACCACAGGTGTTCTGGACACAATTTTGCTCCTGTTTCCCACCACCTGTAGCAGATGAAAATCCCATGTAAGCAGCATCTGAATTTTCCAAATAATTCCTTGTGAAAGGAGATGGAGCAGGGGAAAGCACCCCTCTCCACCGAGAAATGGGACAGGGAAACAACCTCTGGGAAAGCTCCTGCAAGAGGGAAGCAGGAGAATTTGGGGATGCTGGAGCTCACTGCTGCTTGTGGACAGAGCTCTGGGGTTAATTTCTGGCCCAGGAGTGAGTGTTCACACAAACACTGACACTGAAGCCTCCAATTGTGTTTCCCTGGACAAACCCAGCACATGACTCTGCCTGCCTCCCGAGCTCCCTGATCAAACCAAGGCTGGGAACAACCTCGTGTCTAAAACAAATAACATTTCAGGGCAAACCTTCTGTTTACAGACACAGAGAGGAGATTTTTCAGCAGTGAAACAACAGAAATTGTTTGTCCAATATCTCAGCAGCAAGTGTGTTCCTTAGCAATGAAAGATTGAGTTGGGAGGGGGAATAAATAAATCAGAAGTCATAGAAAATTCAAACTACAGTAGGCAGGGAGTCCTAAGGAAGAAAGTTATGGCCAGATATTTTCCTTTTCCTTTTCCTTTTCCCTCCTTCTCCTTTCCTTCCGTATCAGAGTTGGAGACCTGAGCCCAGGTAAATCCCACCTGGACAAGGTAGATCTGGTCACATTGTGTGCAGAATTTAGCTTTTAATAAGAAAAGGCTCTGTAAAGAGCAAGCTGGAAGGTGAAAGGCTGGGCCCCATGCTGGAGCAAACAGGAACAATAAAGGTAATGAAGTGGTTTGGTACCACCTGATTTGGATCTAAGGAAGAATTGTTTTTACAGTGAGGATGGAGAGACAGAGCAGCTGTGGCTGCCCCATCCCTGGAAGTGGGTAGCATTTCTCACACTGGGATAGTGGAAGGTGGAATGTGGCAGGAGTGGGACAAGGTGACCTTTGAAGCTCCCTTCTACCCCAAACCACTCTGAGCCCAGTCCTGCTCCTATTGTGTCACCTCTGATGTCCCCTATCAGCTCCAGGGCCGGGCAGGGCACTCACAGGGCTGGGGAAGCTGCACATGGGGACAATCCCCAGTTTGGGGGGACCCTGCTGCAGCCTGCCAGCACTGGCCCAGCCTCCCACACCCTCCAGCCCTGCACACACCAACCACTCACAGGATGAACAAGCCTCTGCACGTCCCAGCTCAGCCTAAACCCCTGAAAATCGGGAGGAAATTCCCCAGAGCACTGTGCAAGGGTACCCTAATCCTAGGAAACAGTGGGAGCCCAGATCCCTGCACACCTTTGGGGAGGGGGAGCAGGGAAACCGTCAGAAAAACAGTAAAAAGTGACACTGGAGTGACAGGGTGTGCTGTGTGACTGGGACATCCCAGAGCACCTGGTGGCACCTGGCACCCAGCAAGGGACAGGGCCAGCACTCCAGGAAATGATGGGGAAGAAGGATTCCATGCTTTAGAGAAAATACTGCCTTGAAACTGTGAGGGTGTGGGAAATGGATTTGTAGAGAATTCTCAAAACTAACGGAAGACTCACACAGTGTACATCTGTATGCAAACCTTGAAATAAGAAATGATGACTTCTGTCTCAAGACAATGGGATGAGCTCACTCCATCTGATCTGCCTGCGAGGGGAGAAATTGAAAAACATGGATTCAGAACTTGCTGATGGCAGGAATACAGGCAGTGGTGCAGCGATGGATGCAGTGATAAATGCAGTGATAGATGAAGGGATGCAGGCAGGGGCACGGGTGCAGGGGTGGTTGCAGTAATGGATGCAACTTGAAGCATTTAGAAGAAATTTGAAGCGGTTTGAAACAGCCTGAAGGAATTTGCAGCATTTTGAAGCGATTTGAAGCAACCTGAAATGGTCTGAAGCAGTTTGAAGGGATTTGAAGAGATTTTAAGCAGTTTGAAACGGTTTGAAGGAGCTTAAAGCGGTTATAAGTGATTTGAAGAGGTTTGAAGTTATTTGAAGGCATTTGAAGTGATTTTAGAGCGGTTTGAGGCGATTTGAAGCAGTTTAAAGCGGTTTGAAGTGACTTGAAGCGGTTTCATGTGGTTTGAAGTGACTTGAAGTGGTTTCGAGCAGTTTTAGGCGGCTTGAAGCGGTGTGAAGCGATTTGAAGCGGTGTGAAGCGATTTGAAGCGGTTTGAAGCGGGCGAACCCGGCCGCGCTCTCCGCGCCCCCTGCCGGCGCCTCAGCGGGGCGTGTGAGGCCGCGGGACTACAGCTCCCATGTGGCGCCGCGGCGGCGCCGCGCGCGCGCAGTGCGGTCCCCCCCCCGTGCGCGCCGGAGGCCCCCGCGCCGCCCAGGCGGGAGCGCGCGCGGCGTTCCGGGGGGGAGCGCGCGGCTCGCATCTTTTGTGTGTGTGTGCGCGCGCGCGCCGGGCGGCTCGCCCCTCGGCGGGGCCGCGCGGGGGACGGCTCTTTGTGCGCGCGCCCTGCCCCCAGCCCGCCGGGGGACAATGTCTCAGCCCCGAGGTGAGAGCGCGGCGCGCGTGCACGCGCGCGCGTGCAGCCGCGGGTGGGTGCGCGCGTGCGTTTTCCGCGCGCGTGCGTTCCACGCGTGCAGCCGCGCGTGCAAGGGCTGCGCGGGCGCGCGTGCATGCGTGTGCACGCTCGTGCGCGCGCGCGTGCACTCGCTTGTGCAACTCGTGTGTGTGTGTGGGGGGGGGGTTGCGCGCGCGCATTCGCTTGTGCAACTTGCGGGTGCACGCGCAACCGGGCACGCAGCCGCGCGTGCAAGCGCGCGTGCAGCCGCGCGTGCACGGGCGCGGGTGCACGTTGCACGTGCATGCACGGGTGCGGGTGCCCGCGCGTTTGCACGCCCGCCTTGCTTGGGGGGTCGCCGCCCCCGGTGCAGCTCCCGGTTGAGCTCCGGTGCCGCTGCCGCTCCCGGTGCAGCTCCGGTGCAGCTCCGGTGCAGTCCCGCCGCGTTTCCTGCTCGCCGGCGGTGCAGCCTGTCCCGGGATGAGCGAGCCCCTCGCCTGCCTTTGGCACGGCCCGGAACGAGCGGGGGGTGTTGGAGGAGCAGCTGCAGCCGGGGCTCGGCGCGGGGTTAAAGCAAACTTTTAAACAAGTCCGCGAGGGAGATGAAAGGTGAAACTGGAGTGGAGTTAGCAGGAATTAAATATATACCTATGTTTCCATGGGAAAGTATTGTTCTCGTGCCAGCGCTGAGATCATTTTCCACCCATTTCTCTCCCCCACCTCCCCTCTTTTAATATTTGGTAACTTTTGGTCGGAGGCAGCAGTGGGGTTTGTCACACCAGCAAGCTCCGAGCGTGCAAAAAGGCAGGAATGGAGCATTTGGGAAGTGCAGGAATTGGGTATTAGGGAGCTGCAGAAGGGCAGGAATGGAGCGTTTGGGAACTGCAAGAACAGGAGCATTTTGGAGCTGCAGGAATGGAGCGTTTAGGAGCTGCAGAAGGGCAGAAGCTGAGAATTTAGAAGTTGCAAAAGGGCAGGAATTATGCATTTTGGAGTTGCAGGAATTGTGCATTTTGGAGCTGCAGAAACACAGGACTAGAGCATTTAAGAGCCGCAGGACGGAAGCATTTTGGAGCTGCAGAATTTGACAGTTTAGGAGTTGCAAAAGGGCTGGAGTTGGACATTTGAGAGCTGCAGGAATTATGCATTTTGGAGCTGCAGAAATTATGCATTTTGGAGTTGCAAAAGGACAGGAATTATGCATTTTGGAGCTGCAGAAATTATGCATTTTGGAGTTGCAAAAGGACAGGAATTATGCATTTTGGAGCTGCAGGAGTTATGCATTTTGGAGCTGCCGAAGTTGAGCATTTAGGAGTTGCAAAAAGGCAGGAATTACGCATTTTGGAGCTGCAGGAGTTGAGAATTTCGGAGTTGTAAAAGGGCAGGAATTGGGCATTGTGTTGCTGCAGAATCAAGCATTTTGGAGTTGCAGAAGTTGAGAACTTAGGAGTTGCAAAAGGGCAGGAATTACGCATTTTGGAGCAGCAGGAATGGAGCATTTTGGAGCTGCAGAAGTCGAGTGTTTAGGAGTTGCAGAAGGGCAAAGCTGAGCGTTGAGGAGCTGCAGAAGGGCAGGAGTTGAGCCCCGAGGAGCAGCGGGAGGGGGTTTGGGAAGGGGACAGCGGTGATTTATTTCTGCCAGCGTGGTGGTGGCAAAGAGCACTGGCTCTTTGCTTTTTAACTCGCTGCTTATTCCAGAGTGCCTCTGCCTTGTGCCCTTGCAAGGGCGGGAGGGGGCAGGCTGGGAGGAGGTGGAGAATTTAATATTGCAAAAATGCTGCGGGAATGCAACAGGGAGAGCTTTAAGGAGGAGTAGCTGCGGCCATTCATTGTGAAAATCCATGCCCGTGACACAGATGCAGCTTTTGGAGCTTTTGGAAGTGCTTGGATTGGATGTTGCAGCTTGGCTCTCCCTGCATCCTGCAGCCCTCGCACATATTTGGGATTTTGGGGGTGAGAGGCAGCGTGTGGCCTGGCAGAAGCAGGTCCCAAAGTGGGTTTGGAGCTCGTGTTGTGTTTGTTTGTTTATTTATTTATTTATTTATTCAAACTAAGCCTTCCACAATAACCCTTGCAAGGGAGGACGTTGGCAAGGAGGTGCCTGCACAGCTCTTGCCACACAGTTTTCCTTTGTAAAAGAAAAATGTAAAGTTGTTGTATAATTTATTCCTAATTTGGGTTTGCTGCAGTCATCTTTTCCAGCCGAGCAGGGAATTGTAAAAGTTTCCGATGCAAAGGGCCAAGGAAGTTTGATAATGCAGGATTGAACCCGGGGATACCCAGAGCCCCCTGCCCCTGCCAGGAGGGTCCTTGGGGGGACAGGGGGTCCCCAAAAAGCCTGGGGGTGGCAAAGGCTGAGCGTGCAGAGGTGGTGACAGGCAGGGAGCTGTGCTGGTGGCCCTGCAGGGGTGCTGAGTGTCCCCCAGCAGGGCCTTCTGCGTCCTGCCCAGTACCAGGAAAAGGGAGGATGGAAGTAGCCAACCCACAAAACATGATCTCAATGAATGGCATCATTCTTGACTCCCTTTGCCGTCCTCCTCGCTCTCTGCAGCACCAGTGCCTGCATTCCTGGCGCAGATAACTTTTCCCAGCTCAGCTGTTCAGGCCCAGCTTTTGCTCAGGAAGGGGTTTCAGCTCTGGGCTTTGCAGCAGAGGTGTCGTTCCTTGGGATAATCTGAGTTTTGGGATCAGCTTTCATGTGTTGCACAGGAGGTTCCTCAGCAGCTCTGGAAAGTACAGCCCAGAGCCCCAGCCAGCTGCTGAGCCCTCTCCCTGCTTTGAATCCTTTCCAGAGTTGTTCTGAGAATTTGCCAGAGATTAATGTTTTTGATGCAGCGTAGCAGGGGGACATGTGAGCAGCAGAGTTGTTCTTACTCCCTGCAAGGGATCCCACCTGGTTCAGGGAGACCCTACCTGTGCTATGCAAAAAAATGGGGGGGATTTGCTTCCTGCACAGTCTGTAAAGGGTAAAACTCCCATGGAATTCAGAAACAACACTTTTCTTCTGGCCCTTTCTGCAGCAGGAATGAGCAGATGCCTCCAGCATTGTGTTCAGGGTTCTGAGCCACCTTGCCTGTCCCTGCTGGGCTCCCTGAGGGTCCACCCAAATACAGAACTCACCTGAAGTCAAAGACACCCCTGCATTTCACCCTGTGCTTGTTCATTCCCTCTTTCAAGCTGCAGACTTGGTACTATTTGTTGGATGTAGCAACCCTTAGCAAATCAGCTTTTCCTGAGCACGGCAGGTTCCTGCAGCCTGTTCCTCACCTTCAGAGATGGGGCTGCTCTGGCCAGGAGGGCCTTGATATTAATGGGAACTCAGAAGTTGAATCCTTGCCCAAATCCAGCCCGTTTGGCTGTCATGACTAATAGGATATTATTTTGGAAGGGGGGGAGGGGGGGGGGAAGAGGAAGTCCATATTAATTTCAAGCCAAGCACAGTCTAAGGCTGTAAATCTGGACTCTGGTGACAGCAGATATATGCAGGAGTCTCCCAAATTCCTTGCAGCGGGTGGAATTATTCCCAAAGCCCACATGGGAGAAAATACCTGCAAATATGCAAATTTCTTCATTGCAATAAGAAAAGGGAAGGGGGAGCAGTACCCACGAGAGCACTGATTCATAAATACACTGAAATGATGTTTAAACTAAGTATTGCTGCCTGTTGATCTCACACCTAAGCCTCAGGCTCCTGTTTCAAATACAATTTTCAGTGCTCCAGCTGCAAAGGGAAGCTGAGATTATGAGCAGCACATCCCACGTGATGCTGGCTGAGCATGCACCCTATGGACTTTGACCAAAGGCCCTGCACCTAGTCCAAATACCACAGTTTTATGTGAAACACTCATGTTTTCCCCAGCCAGAAGTCTCAGTGGAGCCAGCTGTAAAGCTGAAATATTCCTTGTTGTTGGGTTTTTTGCAGCCCTAGGTAGGTGGCAGGTTGTTGCTGGTGTAGGATTAACCTGCAAGCAGCTCCTGTGGGTTGTGCAATGTGAATTTTGCCTCATCAGCAGCACCTCAGCTTCTCCCCACTCACACACTCCCATGACACAGGCACTTGGCAAGGGCACAGCCAGCAAAGCCGTGCCACGGTCAGCCAGGTGCAAGCCTAGCAAAGCCTGGACTAGCAGCAAATTTCAACTGGAGTTGTTGATTTATTCTTAATTAATTTTTTTTTAAGGGTGCCCTGTTGAATTAGTTTAGGTGCTGTGCTGCAGTTCTGGAAGTGTGCCTGCTTTGGGTTAATAGGGGGCAAATGTTTATAAAGAGGTTTAAAAACCTCGTGCAATGCCAGGCTGGAGGAATTACCCAGCTTGGGAAGAGGAAAATGTAGTTGGGGCAAAACGTATTTGGCTGGAGATGAGCCAAAGCTGTGCCCAGGTGAGAGCTGAGACACCTGGGTGAGCCCCTGCTCTGCCCCAAGGAGGTGTTTGTCCTGTCCCCATGTCCCAGCAGGTCCCAACATGTCCCAACATGTCCCAACACCACTGCTCAGGCCAGCAGCTCCCTGCTGCTACCCAGGACATATTTAATATTTAAAAGCTCCAACTAGGAGCAATTCTAGCAATAAAAGTGCCAAGTTACAGGAGGAAGGGAGCAGAGAGCTGAGTGCTCCTGCCAGGCTCCTCAGTGCTTCTTTTTATTTTGGCTCCTTTTTATTTTGGTGTTTAAGTCACCAAAACCTGGGGGCTTCCTTGGGGCTGAATTCCCTCCCCTGACACATCCATGAGCTGCTAAGGTGAAGCAAATGATGCTCCATGAAAACCACAGGAGCAATTTGGAGAGATGAGACACTTCACGTGGAACGTGGTGACAGCAGGTTTGAGATTCTGGACCCCCTGGTTGAAAATACACAAGATTATTTAAAAATTGCCTTTTCTCCCCAAGCAATGCCTGTGTTTGCTGTCACTTGGGCTTTTTCTCTTTCTGAAAAGAGCTGTGACAGCACCTCTAGAAGCCTCTCCGAAAAGGATTGAAAACCAACACACCTG